ACCCGATTGTGCATGGTCCTTTTGGGTTGCCTTCACCATAACAACTTGGTAGGATGATATATTATGAGAGAATAGATATTATTAATATATTATGAGAATAATATAAGGAATAATAATATAGTTATTTGATTAATATAAGTTATAGATTAATTAGTATTAATTTGGTAACTTAAGGAGATTAATTAAATAAGAGGGTATAAACTGTCAATTCTTTGATAGTTAAACTTTAGACTGTAAATCCTTATTGATAAAGGATTGGACGATTTCTAGGGATAGGATAAGCCAAAATCGTCCAAAGGGTTATCAAGGAAAGGATATGGATTAACTTAAAGTCTAAGTTATCCAACTAGGGTTTAAGCTATAACCCTTAAGGAGTCTACAAGTATAAATAGATCCTATGGCTGAGGGAATTCGACATCCTAAAAAGTAAGGATACCCTGGCCGAATTTCACCTCTCTCCTCTCTCTCAAATCATCCTCTTTGCTAGTTGGTGTTTGTAAGCCATTAGAGGAGTGACAATTGTGACTCTAGAGCTCCAAGACAACAAGATCAAACAAGAGAATCAAAGGTATGTTTCTAGATTTGTTTTTTTGTGTTGTTCTTACACCTAATAAGTCATTAGAAGTCTTGGATTCAAAGCATGTTTAATAGAGAAACCTAGATCCAAGCATTAGGGTTTGTATGCGCACTTAGGAATGTTCTTATGTATAAAACCCATCAGTATAAGCCAACAGTCAAGGTTAACGGTCAAATTCAACATCAACTAATTTTCACGTCGTGGCCACAAATTGGTCACATCGTGACAACACTAAGACACAATAATCGTGAAGCTGTCTATCGCCACGTCGTGACAATCAACTTGTCACGTCGTGGGAACCGCTCTGTATAGCTTAATGCTTTAAGCTCTTAATCCTTTAGGCCAAGCTCTCAAACTTTCCAAAAGGATTTCTCCATCCCAAATCATCATAAAAATCATTGCTTTTTGGACATGCATTTCCAATGTATATGTTGAACACAAGCTCGGTCAAAATCAAGGGAAAATAAGATCAAATTTCATGCATGTGACTTACAACTTACTAACTTTCCAAATATGGGACAAAGGATTACAAAGGAGTCTTAAGAACTCATATATGAGATTCCAACATCCAAACCTCCTCAAACATTGAAAAAATTGAGCAAAAATCTAGATCTAGCATGCTTAGACTATAAATCCAGGAACTTAAGGACTTACAAGAATCCTAAGATAGCTCAAGATGATGAGAGAGAGGCTTACTAGCTGAGATAATGCACCAAAACATCATTCCTTCTTCTTCAAGGCTAAAATCGCCAAAAAGGAGCTCACAAGATCAAAAATGGGGCTAGGGTTTCTTGGAGAGCACTAGGGAGTTGATGTAGGTTAAGGGTGTGCAAACGCTAGCCCTCACTTGCCATCAATAGGGCACAAATCCCGAAATTAGGGTTAAATACCAAGGCGACCTTTAGGTCGTGACCACATACTCGTCGCATCGTGACACACAAAATGGATGCGTGTTTTAAACATCGATGCCCACATCGTGATGTATCCTTCATCACGTAGTGACAATCTCAAAATCCATATTTTACATTTTTAATTGTCCAAAACATAAATAAATCATTTACCTGGAATAGAAGTTACAGTCTTCGAGTTCGATGATGAAAATTGGGCGACAAAGGAAGTGTCTATGGTATATGGGAATGAGCTTGAACCTTTGATTATAGATATTGAGACAATATTGGTGAATGAGAGGTGCGACGGTGGAGTGATTATGTTTTTTTAATAGATGGAATGTTTATAGAGAGAAACAAATAGAACGAGGGAAGTCGAACATAGAGAAAAAGAGAAAGAGGGAAGTCGGTCTAATTTTTTAGAGATGGGGAAACAAATATATTGATTTTTTCGTAAAGAGATAAAAATATTATAAATTTTAATAGAGTGAAAAATTGAAATTTTAGTAAACAGAGAAAATAAAATTTGTAGTCATATGTATTTTTATCCTTACTATATTATACTTTTAAACACAGACAAATAATTAAGTTGTATGGTCACAAATTGTTTTTTAAATAGTAACCATAAATTACTTATAGTAAAATGTCTTTTCTACTTTTATTATTAATATTCTTATTTTTAGACACACATAAGTAATTAACGTGACCACTGATGACATTCTGTCACAATGATCAACCGTAACTATTACCTAGTATTTGTTACATGTTTATGTAAAACGGTAACGAAATATGTGAACATAGTTTGCAATGGTAATATTTTTAGTTAATATGTGATTAAAACATTATTTAAATTTGATTAATGACCTTTAGTATTGCAGCTAATCAAAACTGTGACAACATGTTTAAAAAACTTATTACCAAAAGTCACTTTTGTACTAGTGAGTCGTTTTAACTTGTACCAACACCAATAATAGACCGTAAGCATATATTTAATTCATTAATTCATTTAATTTTACTCTTAGATTAATTTAATGTTATGAATATGATTTATTTATTTTGTTTACTATTTGGTTATCTGATTTATTTATTTGATAAAATTTTATGTATCCTAAAATACAGATGTTACCTATGATGCATGGAAACGGCATTTTGGGTGGCGTACCCGTATCAGATACTTGTGGGAAACAGATGCTTGGGGGAAACGGCTAAGAAACGTTTCCTGGACGTATCAGATTATCCAGAAACGTTTCCTTCAAGTTTCCACAAAGTTTCTTTTTTTTTTTTTTTTTTTTTTTTTTTTTTTTTACATGGGCTTTTTAATAGAGTAATAATGGGTATTGTAATCAACAATTCGACATTATCCTACAACTATCACCAACTGCTGCCTCTTGTTTTATTATAATCGACGTCCAACCAGGTTTAGTGATTTGCCCGTTTATTGCTTTGCATCAATACATTATACTTGTCGACAATCAAGAACATAATAAGAAAAAATTCACCACTCAGGCACTCATCAATTCAGAAATCGATTGATTATTATTATATTTTGGAATTTCTTATATATATATATATATATATATATATATATATATATATATATATATATTATATATATATATAATATATATATATATATATATATATGTTTTTTTCATATTTTATATTGCCGTATCTCTGCCGTATCCGTATCTTGAATTTTAGAATTTTGCCGTTTCCTGTTTCCGTTCCGTATCCGTTTCCCATTGCCGTATCCGTTTCCGTGCAACTTAGGATGTTACAAATACCGAACCCTAGAGTAGCATTTGATATCGGTTCGGGTATGAGATCCATTTTGTATTTTTAATTCGAAGACTATATTATGAACCAAAATTAGTTGCCCAAGAACGACAGCCACTTTTGTTTTTTCTTATTGGATCAAATGTAAACAGTTGCCCAAAATGGCATCCCACTTCTGATTTTACTTATTAGATCAACTGTGTGAACAGTAGCTCAAAAAAGTAGTCTCACTCATGATTTTGCTTATTAGATCAATCGTGAACACTAGCCCAAAAATAGCAGCCCCCTTATGCTTTATGAATACAGAAGTCAATACATATGAACGATAAAATTATAAATATATATATCATGCATCCTTCAACAGGATTTTTTTTTTATTATGAT